TGAGGGGGGGAGAGAGAGAGAGAGAGAGGGAGAGGGAGAGAGAGAGAGGGAGAGAGAGAGAGAGAGAGAGAGAGAGAATAGGAAAGAACATGAGATGTTGAGCCTGGTTGAAACCCAAAATCAATACCGTCTTTGTCAGAAGACACAACAATAGGTGAGGGGAGAGGAGGTGTGCTGGGCCTTTGACTTAGGGACATTATTTCTGTCTGTTTCCCGTGTCTTCCAGAGACTTTTAAAATCTTACCACACAGCACTTATAAGCATGGTAAGACCTTATAGAAAGGGGACGGAGACTACCTTTCCTATTTTGTCCCAATCTAGGCACTAAGCCTGTCTGCACTGGCTTCATGCCTGGTTCAGCCAACTCACCAAGATAAGAATGTCTGGACAAAGATCTCATTAGAATTAATTTTTTGCAGTGCTCAGAAGTGGTGGTTTTTAGGGAACATCCTTAAAAGATAGGTGGTGTTTGATCACTTGCCCTTTTCTTCGTCTTTTCCTTTGTCTCACTACAGCAGGTATAATGGCTAGAACCCTAGCAGCTGCCTTGGGAAGATGAGAACACACTGTAGCATGGCAGAGTGATAAACTGGATGCAGAGGAGAGAGAAAATGCCGAATAGTCATGGGTCATCTGCTTCCGGCACTCTGAATGCAGAAAGAAATGAACTTCTGTCTTGTACAAGTTTCGGATTACACTGGGTTTTTCTGCCACAGATGATCTAACAACCTTAATCCAGTGGTCACACGTTTGGGTTCTGGAGTCAGATGATCTGGACTGAAGTCCTACCTCTGTCATTTTAGAGGGTCCAGTTTGGGTAAATCTCATGACCCTCCTGAGCAAATCCTCAGTGTTCTTGATTGTGACATGGAGATCATCACTGTATTTATCTCTACATTTGTTATGCATGTCTATAAAGTAGATGGTACTCCATCAGTATTTAGTATTACCAGCATTTGGTATTCAGTGTTTGGTATTAGCTGTTACCATCTTCATCACCCTGGGGCTTCTGTTACCTTGGAGAGCTCCCCAGGGTTGCTGTTGGAGGCCAGGAGTCCTGTATTCAGGAGCCTGGAGCCCATATCTCTCAGTCTCTTTCCATGGGAGAAACGACTCATGACTTCATGGAAGTCACATACCCTCCTTTACACACTGAGAAAGGATTGGTGAGTATTCTGTAGGTTTACTGGGGAGGTTAAATGAGAGACTATATGTGAGTAGACCATACGATACACAGAGCACACGGTCTACCAGCGTTAGTTCCCGTTTCTTGGTCCTGTTGATACTTGCTCCACACTGCAGACGTGGATGCAAGGCCTTTGTTTCACCTTTTTCTCTTAGCCCAGCCTGGGTAGGTTGCAAGATACTGGCAGCATCACGAGTATGGTTTGACACAATCAGTGAAGGGCTAGCAGCTGACCCTGGGCAGAGTGATTGGTGCCACCTAACTGTGAAGACTTGGGCCTGCAGGCCAGGCTGGCAGGGGTAGAGGGAGGTTCTTAGGGTCAATGGTAGAGGGCAGGGGTTTTGAGGGGTGTGAGGGAAATGGGCAGAGTTTAACAGTATTTTGGGGGGACTTAGTGAGAGGAAGTGGGGAGTAAATGCTCACCTCTGCCCTCCCCAAGAGATCCTCCTGCTTCGTATGTGCCAGGCAATGGTAATTTCTGTGAAGAGTGTAATATTCATCTTAAAGTGTTGTCTTCAAGCATGGAACTGAGTAAGAAAACTTATGCAAAGTGTGTGGCAATAGTGCAGGCCCTTTTCCCCATCCTCACCAGCAAGTCCTTGCTACCAAAGGAATTTGCTGTTCCAGCCTATGCCCAGGACCTGGGTACCACCTGCAAGTGCTGATGAGGGCCTACAGGTAGCTCTAGGGGACTGGCTGGTTTCATGCTGGGAGAGCACAAGCTCTTACAGGAAGCTGTGAAATTTATACAGAGCAGAAGCAGTGATGGAGTCAGGGCCCGGGAGTTCTACCCCATTGTTGCCCCCTGCCACATGTGGAGACTTCCTAGTGGCCATGATCCTTCCAGGGCAACGTTGCAGTGGATGGAACTCTCTTCTCCACCGTCTCTTTAGCAAACACAAACTCTGTTTGGATTGGTTTCGCTTTCCTTTTAAAAACATTTTTTAATTGAAAAAGAAATTCAGATCCTAAATGGTATAGAAAAAATATTGTAACAAGATTTCTGTTTTTGTTACTTTCTTTTCCCTGAGCCACAGTGCCTGACACTCATGATCTAAAGGGGAAGAGGTTTACTTTGGCTCACAATTCATCGATGTTTCAGTCCATAGTCAACTGGCTCCAGGGTAGGACAGCATGGCAGAGGGGCATGGCAGAGGAATTGCTCACAGCATAGCAGCAGGGAAGCTGAGAGATCAAGGGAGGAGGAAGGTTAGATATAGCCTTCGAGGCCATGGCCCAGGGACGCACCTCTTCTCGCTAGGCGTCACCACCCAACTTTACATTTAGCTATAAACCCACAGGGGACTAATCCACGGATGAGTATCACATCCTCATGAGCCAGTTGCCTCCCAAAAGCCCCACTTTTGAGTGCGTGAGGCTTTGGGGGGACATCTAGATGTAAACTATAATGATCTCACTGCTAGCTATGACAGTTCACTTTGGTCCACTCATTCCATGAATGTATGTGCAAACTAAGATCTAGTATTTCTTCCCCTGCCTTTGGGAGTTACATGTAGTATTTGTATTCTTTTCATAGTTTTTCTATAGCTCTATACCATCTTTTTAAAAAGAGATAGGAAATATAACTGCATTCTGATTCTTACCAAAAAGGAACAGAAAGGATAGTAACAGACAACATTTCACTGCCAAATATTGTGATGTGGCTTTAGTGGTCTTTGAACTCAAGCAGGGAACAACCCTATTCCAAAGAGCTAAGAATGCAGTTCCAAAAAATTAAGGTTTTTAAAGCTGCCACACTCACCCTGGAGCCCGTTCACCTGCTTCAGTGTTCCAAAGATGAAGCACACCTCCACTTCGCTAGGTAATAGTGGCACACTGTGGCCCTGCTGACATTATGGGACAGTGGCCTGGAAAACTAGACTCCTGATGCTGGGCTCCAGCTTTACTTCTTCGCAGGTCGCCACCCTTACCCAGGTGAGGCGTTGTCTGAGCAACTTCCAAATCATGGTTATACCATGCTGCCCATGCTGGGCCCATGACAACCTCTGGCAACAAACTCCAAGTTCTGGTCTCTAGTGAGCTTGCTGGTGAACCAGAGGAAGGAATTCTCAAAGCTGTAGTTACCTTTGGCAGAAATGTCATAGTATTGAAGATTTTTCTTTCAGTGAAACACGATAGATTTTTGCCTTCACTTTCTTTTCTTTGAGGACCACTTTGTAGTTACACAACACAGTGAAGATGTTCTCACATACTTGTACCAGATCTGTATGTAAGTAACTCTTTTTTTGGTACCGGGGATTGAACTCGGGTCCTTGCGCTTGCAAGGCAGGCCACCGAACCGCTGAGCTAAATTCCCAGCCCCTATAACTCTTGACATTAGGTCAAATGTCATAATGGCTTGGATGTAGTAGCCATCTTGCAGCCTGCCAAATTTCTCCTGGTTGGGTCTTCCATGTATTGAACTTGGTGGGGTCTCATTGATGTGGAACAGGAAGGAATGCACCTCTATGCTCAGGATAGCCCTATACTTCTTCTTGAGCTCACCAGTCAGTGGTGTTTCAGGAATGTGATCTTCCTGGTGCGCCCCATCACCCATCAGCAGGAGCTTGAGCTGGACCTGTGGCTCTCCCTGAACAGCCATTGCAGTGATTCTCCCAGAAGCTCTCTGTGCCCACTGGGCTCTCCTGACATTTTTATTGCTTCTTCTCCTAAACATGTACTATTCCTAAAGGTGTAACCATTCCCTTAGAGTTGTAGAGTTTAGGATCTTCTCACTTTGCTCCCATTTTTCATGTTACCTTGATCTAGCATTTTTACTCACCACCATTTGTCATTCTTATTTTTAGAATCCATGCCTCTTCAGATCTACCAAAGTAAATCTCAAGTGTTTATAAAAAAACAAACAAACATTAGAACACAATTTCTTCTTGCATTCCTTATCTCTCTTTTTTCTCTAAAGGAATCCCTGAGTAGTTATTTCAGTGGTGATCTGTGTTTAATTCTTAATCTTTTGCTGAAAATACCTTTCCTTTGTCTGAAGTTTCAGGTGGGGACCAGCTGAATTGAAAATTGGTGATTGACTTTTTATCTGAGCACTTTTAAGATATTATTCTCTCACCTTCAGGCAGCTATCATTACTGATAAGGACCCGGATACCAATTTGACAGACATTTCCTTGAAGATAATCTTTACTTTCTAATAACTTTAAAATTATTTAAATTTTCCTCCATGTTTTGTGGGTTCACAATCATGTGTCTAGGCGTGTATTTGTTTTTGCTTATTCTGTGTGCTTTTTCAGCCTGTGGCTTATATGCTTTTCTCAAATCTGGGAAATCCTTAGCCATCAACGCTTCAAAGATTTTTTTTTTTTTTTTGTACTGGGGATTGAACTCAGGTTCTTGCACTTGTGAGGCAGGAGGCAAAAACCACTGAACTAAATCCCCGACCCCTTCATCTCTTCAAATATTACCTCTCACTCCTATTCTCCCTTGTCTTTCTTTTCTGCAGCATCTATTGACAACTTTGGAGCCACTGAAACGTGCCTTCCATATTTCTCAATTTCTTTTTCATGTTTTAAGTTGTCCCTTTTATCTGTGTGCTGCGTTCTGATTGGTTTTCTCAAATCTGTGTTTTGAACCACCAGTTTTCTTTACTGCTACATCTATGGGCTATTTGATTTGCCTCTTGAGGGTTTAGAAAACTTTTTTTGGTTGATTATGCTTTTCAGTTTTAGAACTTCATTTTATTTATTTTGCAAACCTACTCATTGCATAATGTTCTGTGCTTGCTATACAAGTGAGTCTCTTGTATCAGAGTGTTTTAGACATACTGCTTAAGTTCTTTGTTAGAATTCTTAGCTATTGGTGGTTCCTTGGGAATGGATTCCCTTATCTGTAACACTTGTTGAAATTTCTGGTAATCTTCTCATGTACTTGGTGGCTTTCATATCCTCCCAGCAGGGAATCATCTCATATAAGGTTCTGGGAATTCTCCAGGTAGTCTGAGATGATTCTCTGGTCTAGATCAGTGTTTCTTTGGTTTATTGGCTGAAGATTTTTGTTCCCAGTAAGAAGTATGAGAGTTTGGTTGTATACCAAAGTTTGCAGATTAAATACTCTACTTTCTTTCATTTCTTTATCCCCCTTTATTCTTTGTTTATGCTACCTGCCAAACAACTTCTCTACTATCGCCTTGGGTGTGTGAAGCATTTTTTCTGATGGGATTATCTTTCCAAAAATGATTTCTGCCTAGTTCCAGCTCTGGAACAAAGACTGGCCTTGACTTTCATCTTTATGAGCTCATAAAGCCCTGTAAAGCAGTACTTTTTGTGTTTCAACCCATATATGGCTCACCTGGGGGACTAGTTGAGATGAAAATCCCTATTCAGCAGATTGCGGGTGGGGCCTGAGATTCCACATTTCTAACAAGCTCCCAGGAGATGCCAGGGGTGCCCACCAGGGAACTGTGCTAAAGTCG